TTTTTTGTAATTTTATTTATTGAATCACCATGAAAGCAGTAACAAAGCTTTCAGGTTTAAGTCTCGGTCATACAATGAAACACCCGTACCTTCACCAGTGCCCATTCTCCACCACCAAAAACCCCAGTATACCCCCATCCCACACCTTCCCCGTAACTATGGGGCAGATGATTTCCACATTACTCTCTCTCTACTTTGATTACATTCAATATTTTGACGCCAGACCCACCATTATTATTTGGGATTTTACCCCAACATTCAGATCTGCCAAAAAGGCAACAGTAGACATTTTGTTTTCTATTGTTGGTTCTGAATAATATATGATGTCGCACGGCTGCAGTAGAGGCTGTGTGATTTTGAAATTCCGAAATTTTAACAATTAAATCTGGAGGGATTTCTTCCAAAACCTGCTGGGTTCCGAGATTTGTTCCTGAGTCTCTGGGATCATGGCCATTAAGCAGCTTGATCAGGAGCCAGAGAGGCCATTCGTGGGTGGCGACTCAGTGTCTTGTTGGGGTGGGGAGGAAAGGGCCGGCTCCATCCCCATACCGTGAGGCCCCGTGTGTCTCGTCACTGCAGGCCCAAACCTGACTGTCCAGTGGCCTCTGGAGAATGGTGCCCACTGGGCTGCCGGGGGAACAGGCCAAGATACGAAACCTATTCCCATCTGGGTTGGCCGAGCGCCGGTAACCTACGGCAGGGACTAGATGCATTTCTGCCAAAAGCCGCTTGGTTTTGAGATTTGTTTATGAGTCTGGGATCATGATCGTTAAGCAGTTCGATCAGGAACAAGAGAGGCCATGCCTATATATAGCTGAGCTGGAGGTGGTTTGTGGGTGTGCCTCCCATAAACCTAACTTTTGGCCATTGACTTTCTTCATAAACTTTGCCCCAAGTTTTTGGGGTCTGGCCAAAGGCACAGCAGCAATTTTGGGGTATCTGGAAGTCTGAAGATGCCATCAGGCTCCTGACGCACTCGCCTCACAGGTACAGATTTACCTGCTGGCGGCACCATACCATGTGATTTCATGGTAAAACATGAGAATGAAATAACACAAAGGATCTCTGAGCAGGAGCCAGAGGGGTAGTACAGCAGCAAAGGTGGTTGCCTTGCACTTGATCCCTGAGCCCACCAGTACTGATTCCCTGAGCACAGAGCCAGGAATTGAAAACACCAGGTATGGCCCCCAAACAAAAATACAAAACAAAAAGGGTTTGGAAAGATAGTACAGAGAGAAAGACGTTTTTCCCTTGCATGCAGCCAACCCAGGTTCTACCCCTAGAAATCCATATTGTCCCCTGAGTACCACCAGGAGTAATTCCTGAGTGCAGAGCTAGAAGTAAACCTGAGCAATGTCGAGTATGGCCCAAAACTTCCTCAAAAATCCCAAACAAAAAAGCAAACAAATAAAAAGGAGTGATCTCTAAGCTTAGAGCCAGGAGTAAGCCCTGAGCACCACAGGATGTGGCCCCAATACCAATCTGCACCCACTCCCTCCCCACAAAAAAAAAATTAAAAAGATGCCTGAACAAAAGGACAGAGAGAATAAACCAGGAATTCTGACATCATCTATCTATAGATTTTTTTTTTAATATTTAGAAAGGAAAAAAAGACAGGACAGATACAGCCTCTGAAATAAGGACCCAAGTTGGAGTTTTAACGTATCTATTAATAGCTCTGGGATTCTGATGTGTTCTCTGCGCTGAGCTTGTTTCTCCATCTATAAATGCAGACTGAAAGAACAACAGGAAATAACAGGCAGCCCTGGCCTGGTACCACCCAACGTTCAAATAAATGACTGAATAGTTTTCCCTCTCATGTTGAAGAGAGAATTCATTTACTATCTCACTCGTTCTCATGAAGCTTAATCCAGTTCCAGGGGTATGACTCTACCCAAATCCACTGGCTGAAAGGAAACAGGACTTGAGTTAACACCTGAAAATGAGCAAAAAAAACCCTAGTCTGTCAGAATGGAGGAGAGAGGTAGGATCTGACTGATGAGTATTCTGAGGGCAGTGGCAAAAAGCCACTTTCTGCAGTGGCAGAAAGCGGGAGATGTGCCACAGCAGCTCTAGAAAGTCTTGGCACTTCCTTTGTCACAGCCAAGGATCCTCCCTTTGTTTGAGCCGCTCTACTCTCTGGAGGCCTTGAATATCACTGCTATTTTCTGTTTACCATTCCCAGGTGCCCATCACACCTGAAAAAGCTCTCTGTGCCCAAGGTCCATTTGATCCTATCTACCTCCTCTCCTTGTTTCCTCAGCTGCTTCTGCTGCCTCCAGAGGCAAGGCATGCCATCTGGGACAGAAGACTCATCTCCTTTGTATCTGGAATAGTTAGGAAGGATACTACTGTTGCTAGGTTACTCAGCAATACCTACAAGCTGTAGGCACAGACTTTTAATAGCATCTTCTAAATTGTGTGAGCAACATCCCAGCATGCTCAGGGGCTATCCCTCCTGGCTCAGTGAATCATATGGTGCCAGGAATCAAACCTGGGCCTCCTGCATGCAAAGCTATGCACTGTATACAGCCCTTTGAACTATTTCCCCTGTGCCAATAATAGACTCTTATGTGCTCACCATAGGCAACATGGGACTTTAGCCATTCTTCATTTTATTTGAACAACTAAATCCTAACTACCCTCCCTACCTCTCAAATGAATGCCTATTTCTATTTCTCTTTCATTTAAAATTGTCCACTTGGGGACCAGGGATGTAGCTCAGTGGCAGAGCACATATCTCATAAATACATAAGGTTCTGGGTTTGATCTCTAGCAAAACACACACACACACACACACACACACACACACACACAGAGGCAAAAATAATACACCTTCTTTTTTTTGGGGGGGGGGGGAGCTCAGGGCTTGCTCCTGGCTCTATGTTCAGAGATCACTGCTGGAGGTGCTTGGAGGATCATGTGGGGTGCGAGGGACTGAACCCCACTCAGCTGTGTGCAAGACAAACACCCTACCCATATACTATCTCTCTGGTTCATCACCTTTACTTTTTTGTCTTCTTTTGGAGGACACCCAGTGGTGCTCAGAGGCTATTCCAGGGAGTGCTCAGTATCATACAAGTTGCCGAGTACTGAATCAGGGTCACCACATACAAGGCAGAATCCTGCATTATCTCTGCAGCCCTCCAGCCTCTCAAAATCCCAAAATGGGAGACTGCTCTTCAAGCCAGTGTCCTCCCTTTAATATGTATCTTTGTTTGCTTTTTCCATTCTGGAGAAGCCTAATATTTTCTCGAACAGGTACTTCCTCTTTGTCTCTCTCCTCACATCTTTTCTAAGTAAGTTTAGCGACAAACTACCTTGCTTCACTAAAAAATAACAAACTATATGATGGAGCAGGGAGATGGCTCAAAGAGCGGGAGCACATGCTCTATATGCAGGAGGCCCGGGTTCAATCCCCAGCACTATATGATTCCATAAGCACTACCAGGTGTAGTCCCCAAACAAATAAACAACTAGATGCTGGAGCAAAAATGGAACTAAGTCAAGGAGTTGGTATTGGGGCTGAACTGATAAGTATAGCAGGTAGGGTGCTTGCCCTGCACATAGCTGACAAGGGTTCAATCCCCAGCATCACATATGGTCCCCTGAGCCCTGCCAGGAGTGACCCCCAAGTGCTTAGAACCACGGGATGTGGCCCAAAAATAAAAGTATCTACACTCTCTAGTACTAGACATCACTTGGTATCTAGATCAACACAATTCTATCATTTCAAGTGTTAGGTACTGGATTTTCTGAACTATGAGAGTTGTTGAGTAAACAGCATTTTGAATCCTTGCTGCCCTTTCCAGCTTAGCTCCCCTCACTCAAACCTGTGAACTTTACACTACTGCAGGGGTGGGGAAACTTCTTTCTGTCAAGTGCCATCTGGGTATTTGTAACATCCTTCACAGGTCATGCAACATAAGCACATGAGCCACAAGCACATGAGGCTCAAACAGCTGACAAAAAGCACACGTATCTGTCCTGTCATGTACCAGGGCCAGACTATATGCTTCTGCAGGCCTTGATGGCCCACAGGTGAGGCATTTCCCACCCCACCACAACAATTCTTGCACACAAAGCAACTAATCCCACTCTATGATCTTACCCCACTACATTTTGCATATAGACTTTTCTGGTCTGGAATATCTATGTCCTGATTTTCAGGCTAAACTGTATTCAAATAACTGTCATTATGTACATATGTATATGCTAGGAATTTAGCCCAGATTCTCACACAAATGAAGCAAGTGAGCTTCATTCCCAGCTTTAATTTAATCTTTTAAATCCTGCTCAGATACTATTTCCAGGAAACAGTCTAAGGCTCCCTTTCTCCTACACACCTCTGCATCTTAACATTTTTGTTTGTTATTTGGGTGACACCTGTCAATGTTCAGGGATTATTCCTGGCTTTGCACTAAGGAATCACTCCTGGCAGTGCTTGGGGAACCATATGGAATACTGGGGATCAAATCTGGGTCAGCCGCATGGAAGGCAAGCACCCTATCCTCCATAGTAAACTCCTTAAAATAGCAGATCTTTAGCTAGAGTGCTTGTCTACCATATACGAGGCCTCAAGTTTGATCCCTGCTACCACCTAGCCCCCACGTGCCAAAGGGGTGGCTCATGTGACCCCCAGGACTATACTACTGGGCCTAAAACTCAATAATTAGGCTCCTAGAGTCAAACTGAGTACGCCACGGGTGGCCCCTGGGCCTCTGAGTAGTGCTGGGGCCCCTCCTGAAAAACTAACCAACTAATAAGAATCTCTATCAGCTGGGGAAACCATTCATATATGGCACAGCACATGTATGAGGTTTTCAGTTCAGTCCACACACGTCCCAATAAAAGAGAGAATTTCTGTCTCTTAAAATGCACATCACAGAACAGTCACTCCACATGTATCCTTAATGAGCCATTGTAAAAATGAGTTAAGAAATAGTATAATGGGAACCAGAGTTGGGGGCTAAGGGAGGGTAGGGTTCTAAGTAACTCACATAGATTTCCATTTTTCTGTAGAGACCATAATTAAGAAGCAAATTGTGAGTCATACGAATTCGGTGAGGCTTCATTGGGTGGCCTTGTCCATAATAGTAATTTCCAACATCCCCTGAAGAAAGAGAACAATTTCAGTGACATAGTTAGACACACACTCCCAGGGAGAATCTAAGAAATTTTACAAGAAACTGTCTGGTTCATATCCACCTTGAGGAAGGATAACTCATAAAGGATAAAACAAAAAGGCATGGGGCCTAGGCAGGAGTCCAGAGACCGAGAGGTTGTACTGCAGGCGCGAGGGCAAGAGTTTGAACCCCAGTACCATCCACATGCAGAGTTCAGTGGAATCTTAACAGACCACCGCTGGGCTCTCCAGTCTCCCGTGACCAAGTGTGTGATACCCTTTGTAATTACAACAGCTAAAACCAGAAGGGGGGCAAAAGCGGGGAAGAAAAACAACCAGGAACTCTTACGAGGTAAGCACTTAAGCATGTCAACCTATCCCGTCTTCTGCCCTGAAACCCAAAAGATAGTGTGAGGGGTTTCATTCCAAAGCTTCTAGGAACAGCAGCTAATGAGGTGACTCACCTCACAGTATATCCAAGGCATTCACTTCCCAAAACAGAAAAATAGTAATCACTACCCAGCATTAACATTAGCCACAGCTGACCTTACATATTATGACACTTTCATAATAAGCATATTCACATTCATTTTCTTACTTGGCTTTCAAACCCTGTAAAATAGGACAGGGAGTATTATTACCATTTTATAAATAAGAAAACCAAACTCTTATAATCTCTTGCTCAATCTATAGCAATAGATTTATAATTAGTCCCTCTACTTTAATTCAAATTATGCAATGCCACTGTTTTCTTTTTTGTTTTGGGGCCACATTCAGCGATGTCCATAAGTTACTCCTGGCTGTGCTCAGGGATCACTCCTGGTGGGTTCGGGGTACCATACGGAACAGGGGATATTTGAATCCATGTTGGCTGTGTGCAAGGCGAGCACCCTGCCCACTGTACTATCTCTCAGGCCCCACCAGTTATTTTCTTAATCCATTGTCTTGGTAAAAATCAATCCCCATTCCAAAAACTTGAATGGCTCCCTACTTCCTATAGGATAAAGAATAATAATAAACAACTTCAAAATGGATACTATACTGGGCTCACTAGAGCAAATGGATGAACAACTGGGAGGACAGTGTTACAGTGTTGCAGTGTTACTAGTCATGCATCCCAAGACCTTTTTTATTTTGTGAGCAGTGACAGTCCAGTTATTAGAGCCATTTCCAGGCCCCTCAAAGACTTTTGTTTTGTTTTATTGAGTCAGTCAAACCCAGCAGTGCTCAGGGGTCACTGTTAGCAATGCTCAAGGAGTCATATGCCATGAAGGTACTGACTGTGGTCTGCAGCACGAAAGGCAAACACATCAATCCCTGTTCTATCTCTCCAAACCTCTTTTTTCTGTTTTTCTGGGTCACATACAGCAGTGCTCAGAGGGTCATTTATATGCAGGGCTGGGAATGAATCCAGGCCTCCCAGCATGCAAAGCCTATGCTATACCACTTGGGCTCCCACCAGCAAAGTCTTCTGTTTTTGGGACATACTTATCAGGGCTCAGGAGTAACGGCTGTTAGTGCTCAGGAGACCATATGCAGTGATATATCAAACCAGTCAAACTAGCCAGAAGCAAGGGAACTCTTACCTTCTGTACTCTGGCCCCTCAAAAACTTTTTTGAGGGGGGGGCATACCCAGTGTTGCTCAGGACTTACTTCTGGCTCTGTGCTCAGGGGTCACTCCTGGCCAGCTCCGGAAACCATATGGGGTGCAGGGAATTGAAACCAGGATGAGCTGTGTGCAAGCCAAATGCCCTACCTGCTGTACTATTTCTCCAGCCGTTAAGAAAATTTTTGAGAGACTGGAGCAATAGTATCTCTGCTCTAAGTAGAAATAAGCAAATCATAGTCCTTGAAGCAAATATAACTAGCTACCTACCCTTTTTGTTTATTTTTTGGAGCCATACCCAGAAATGCTCAGGGTGTATCCTTGGCTCTGTGCTAAGGAATGATCCCTAGCAATGTTCAGGGAGACCATACGTGGTGCCAGGAATCAAACCTGAATTGGCCATATACAAGGCTAGCACTTTACCGCTTTTCTCTGCACCCCCACAGCTGCCTACATTTTGCAAATAGTTTATTGGAATACAACTATGTTTATCAGTGTTATCTTTTTTATTTTGAAGTAAAATAATTTTATTCAGGGAATGAGAAGGAAGAGAGTAGGATGTGGGTTTCTCTAGCGGAGTCAAGGGTATCCCCACTAAAGGAATTACACATCCCAAATGGAGATGCAGGAGATCCCACAAGGGGGTTGAACTTAGTTTATTTATTATCTATGACTGCTTCAACCTACTCATATGCTCTAAAAACTGGATTTGCAGCATGCTTATAGGGCATTCACCTTCATGCCAAGTATTCTTTCTTCAAACTTCTGTTTTGACCTGGAATGGTCTTTCCCTCCTTGGTGATCCTAGATTACAATGCCCAGCCCAAACCCCAAACATACTCCTGATCAAAATGAATGGTTCTTCTCCTCTGCATTCCATTTGCATATAATTACCCAATCTTGTTTGCATCTAAATTATTTACAATCTATTCATATCCACAAGACCAAGTGTTCCTAGAAGACAAGGATAGACAAATCTAATCTATACAACACAGTGGTTCAAGAAAAGTTTAAGTGCTTAAAATCATGCAGCAATTTTTAGTGTAAATATACTAGAATATATACATATGCTTAATTTTATTAATTTTGGAGACAGGTCCTATGGTTTATTCAAGCGCCTGCTCAGCATTTTTAACGATGATCAAGAACCGAACAGTTGGGAGCTGAAGTTGAACACAGCAGGGCTCTCAGGAATGAGGAGATGAAAGGAGCTCAGTGAGGGCTGGAGCAATAGTACAGCTAGTAGGGCACCTGCCTTGCATGTGGCTGACCTGGGTTTGATCCCCAGCACCCCACATGGTCCCCAAGCTGTGCTAAGAGTGGTTCCTGAACTCAAAGCCAGGAATAAGCCCCGTAGCCCTGTGCACAGCTGAGTGTGGTCTAAAAAAAAAAAAAAGAGAGAGAGAAAGAAAAGGAGCTCATTGGGCTGGAGTGATAGCACAGCGGGTAGGGCCTTTGTTTGCACACACCCGACCCGGGTTCGATTCCCAGCATCCCATATGGTCCCCCGAGCACCGCCAGGAGTAATTCCTGAGTGCAAAGCCAGGAGTAACCCCTGAGCATCGCTGGGTGTGACCCAAAAAGCAAAAATAAATACATAAATAAATAAAATAAATAAAAAAAAAGAGCTCAGCTCGAATATATACTTAATTCTAATGATGTACACCTGAAACTTTTGTAATAATGCAACACTAATAAATTAATTTTAATGAGTGTAATTAACTAACTGATTCAGGAATCAATTCTTCTGTTTACAAATCTAGTATGCTATAAAGTTACACTGGATTTCCCACTTATATATTGCCTTTGCAGTTAATCTAAAGGGTTCTCTATGAGTCTAAACTGGTAGAAAGTTTCACGGGAGGAGATGATACAGAAGGTAGTTCATTTGTCCAGCATACAGCAGGCTCTATTTTCATCCCCTGATACCAGAGATGGGCAGTCCCCTGAGCAGCTCCAGGGTCAGTCCTGAACACAAAGCCACAACCACCACCTCAGCACCACGGGATGTGACCCCAAAACAAAAAAAAAAAAAAAAAGAGAGCGAGAGAAAAAATTCCCTGAATGGGGGCTGGCTGGAGAGATAGCTCAAGTGAAGTGATAGAACACATGCCTAGGATGTGTAAGGCTGGGGTTCAATTCCCAGAACTGGGGTGGGGGAGGGGAAGGTTCTCAAGGTTGGGAAGATGCTTAAAAGTCATGCAGGAATGCAGGCTGATCTCTGTCACTGCATAATTCTAATTCTTGGAGGTGATCCCTGGCTCCTGCCCCCCAATATTTTTGGCTGGATGTGGCCCAAAAAGAAATATAAATTTAAAAGCTCTTGTCAATATAAAAAATTATTTTATGCTTTCTAAGGGGGCCCTCCCGTTGATCGTCGATTTTCTCGAGCGGGCCCAGTAACGTCTCCATTGGAGACTTTGTTGTTACTGTGTCTGGCATATCGAATACTCTCGGGAGCTTGCCGGGCTCTCCGAGAGGGGCGGAGGAATCGAACTCGAGTCGGCCATGTTGGCCGCTTGTAAGGCGAACGCCCTACCCGCTGTGCTATCACTCTAGCCCACACAGTAACAACAAAGTCTCCAATGGAGATGTTACTGGGCCCGCTCCAGCAAATCGACGATCAACGGGAAGGCCTAGTAAATTATAGCACTAGTAAATTATAGCACAGTGGTAGGGCGTTCGCCTTACAAGCGGCCAACATGGCCGACCCGAGTTCGATTCCTCCGCCCCTCTCGGAGAGCCCGGCAAGCTACCGAGAGTATTCGATATGCCAGACACAGTAACAATAAAGTCTCCAATGGAAACGTTACTGGACCCGCTCGAGCAAATTGACGATCAACGGGAGGAGGGCCTTTTACCTTTTTAAGGGGGCAGGCCTGGAGGAGGTTGGGAAAATGGGGACAATGGTGGAGGAAGGGATTGGTGTTAGAACATTTTGTAAATCTTAGTATTTAAATAAAGTGGGGGTAGATGGGGGGGAGGAAGAGGAGTTCTTGAACAATGTTCCAAATGAAATAAACAAGGTGGAGAGATATAGCACAGGGGCTGAGGGACTTGCTTTGCATGCAGCTGACCCTAATTTGATCCTTGCAGGAAATATGGTCCCCCAATCCACCCAAAAGTATACTTTAAAAAGGGATTGAGCCTGGTGGGGTCAGAGAGACAGTATTGCAGGTAGGACACTCATACACAGTACACCTGGGTTTGATCCTAGCAACCTATATATGGTCCCCCAGACATCACCAAGAGTGATTCCTGAGTGCAGAGTCAGATGAAAGCTGGGTCTGGCCCCCCCCCCCCCCGACAAAAGGAGTTGAACCTGATGTCTCTTTTTCAACTATCCATTCATCCCTCAGTTGGCTGCAATCTACCTTTAAAACCCCAGTCCCCGAAGAGGAAACAGTTCTTGCCCACACTAGGCCACTCACTCCCTCTTTTAGCTACTGTAACCAAACATTTTATGGTTTGCTCTGTGGCCATTTCCTCTCACATTCCAGTCACTTAATCAACATAGTTGCATTGTGAGTCTATGGCGTATGGAAGTAGATAAGAAGCAATGCCTGTCCCTCAGGAGTTTACTCTTACTCCACTAAGAAGCAGAAACAAGTAAACCTATAATTTCAAAGCAGAGTAACAGAGGACATGAAGGAAACCCAGCTCTTCCCTTAGTCAAAGGTCTTAGAACTCTAGCCTGGATCTTATCTCTTTTCACCCTATTCAGTTTCTCTGGTGATAATATTCTCATGTGTAACTAAAATTACCATCTATATAGGTGATGACCAGTAAAATAAACTCGCTTCTCAACTGGTCTTTTTTTTTTTCTTTTCAGTTTTTGAGCCATACTCGGGTGATGCTCAGGGATCACTCCTGGCGGGCTCAGGGAACCATATGGGATGTCGGGCATGGAACCCAGGACAGCCATGTGCAAGGCAAACACCCTACCCATTGTACTATGGCTCAGGTCCCTCATCCCTCTCCTTTTAACAGACCTGAATAGCAAACCATGTACTGAAAAACTCTGACTATTCCCCAGACATCTCAGCAAATGTCTGTTGTATTTTTGTTTGTTTTTCTTTTAGGGCCACACCCAGTGGAGCTCAGGGCTTACTCCTGGCTCCTTGCTCAGTGATCATTTCTGAAGGGGCTAGGAACTGTATGGGGTTCCAAGGATCAAACCCATGCAAGTCAAGTGCCTCACCGCTGTACTATTGCTCTAATCCAGCAAATGTCTCTTTAAAAAAAAACAAAGTTGGAAGCCAGAGAGAGAGTATAGAGGGTAGGTGCTTGCCTTGCATGCAGCCAACCCCAGTTCAATTCCCAGAACTGCAGATAGTCCCCAAGCAAGGTGATTCAGAGTCAAGAGTAGCCCTTGAACATGCTGGGTGTGGTCCCTCAAGGGGAAAAAAATAAATAAATAAATAAAGCGGGTTAGGGAAGAGAGCTGAAAGAGGTGAAGCGCATGCCTTTTTTGCATGCATAAGGCCCCAAGTTTGATCCCTGTCTTGAGTGCCACCAACACTGCCCTGGTGGCCCCTAGTAACCCACCGGGCCTGAACAACCACATCACCGTGCCTCAGCACCTGTCAGTCCCACAATGCTGGTCTTAGGATCACTGGAAATGGCCCCCAAGGGTACCAAGCATAATTGGGGAGCAGCCCAAAAAAAAATTCAACTAAAAATTTTTTCTTTATAAACATACATGGCTGTCTCTAAACACTTTGCATCAAATGGCCCCAAACAAACTTGGGGTTCAAGGCCTATACCTTGCCCCACATTCATAAATCCTATTTGTTTCCAGAAGGATACGATTCACCGCTGCCCTCAGCATCAAGCCCAACTACCTAAGGAAAGTCACTCAGCCCTCAGCACTTTGCTCACTCTGCTCCACCCGCTCCCTGTCATACTGGACATACAGACCTGCCTTCTCCCAGCTTCTGTCCCGTCCGCTCTCTAAATTTAGGGCTACCTCTAGCTCCCCGGACTTGACCCTAACTATTTCCTACTCTTCTGGCTGCGATGGCACCTCCTTTCCTGACACATCAGGCAGCCTGAGCGACCGGTCCCTTGAGCCCCCCCAGCACTGCTCTTCCCTTCCTGCCACCAGCTCCAGGAGCCCCGCTGTCTGCTCCATCTACTTACCTTCCCCAAAGTGCCCCGACCAGCCAGCCCCATGGCCCCCGCACCCAGACCCCACCTGGAAAGGAGAAGGTCGACTTCCGGTCCGCAAGATTTGTTCTAACTGTTGCATCCTTCTCCCTCCCACCCCAAGGGCCCCCATTTCTTTCCCCCCTGCCCCAGCCCCCCCTCCCCCACAGCAACCCCAGGCAGGGCTCGAAGGCTTAGTGGGGGAGGGGGAGGGGTGGTCACTAGTCGGTGATCCCTGCAGAAGCGTATGAGGACCGGGCAGGGCCGGGGGGGGGGGGGGGGGGGGGGGGGGGGGAGGGAGAGGGGCGGGGGGCAGCAAGCCCAGGTGTTCTAGCTGGCAAAAGCCATCCTTGCAACACTGCTCCGTCAGACTCTGCCTCCCCCCTCAGACTCTGCCTCCCGTCCAGGAGTCCCACTCAAACTTTTCTCATCAGACTTCAGACCTCCCCCACCAACACTCCGCCCGGGTCGCCTCCGGTGAGCGCGTCCCTGCCTCAGCCTCGACCTCCCTTTCCTCGCAGCCCTCCTCCTGCCCTCCTCCTCCTCCTCCCTCAGTCAGTCTCCTCAGCTCCTTCCCCAGAGCCTCCGCCCTCAGTCAGTCCCGGCCGCCCCGTCCCCTCAGCCCTTCCCTCTCCCGGCCTCGGCGCCGCCCCGCCCCCGCTGCGAGGACGGCGGCGCTCACCGTCGTAGTAGTAACAGACTTTCCGCCGGGTGCCCAGAGTCTGCGCCATCTTGCTCGCCGCCCGTCCCTCCCGTCAGTCGGTCCGTCCGCCCGCCCGTTCGCCCGCGACTCCTTGCAGCGTCTGACCCAGGGGGAGGGGCGGGGTTCCGGGACGCCCCGCCCACTCCCTCCCGCGCTCACCTATAGCCGCGCAGCCCGGGCACCGCTCCAGCCAATCAGATGGCGCGAGGACTGCCCGGAACTCGGCTGGGGGCGGCCTGGCGGCCCGGGGGCCCCCTGGGCCTGTACCAAGGGCAGCGGCGCGGGGGGGGAGGGTCGGGGAAGCTGCCCCGGGACCGTACCATTAGTCCCGGGGGAAGTCAGCAGGTCTGTAAATGTCACAGACCCATTTGCGTGCTGGGGGATTAGAGGCCAACTTGAAGTGACTCGCACAAGGTCTCTCGGCCCGTGGAAGGGGAGAACCAGCCTCAGGAGGCGACTTGGAGGGAGCGACTCTGACAAAGAAACTGTAGGACTGTGTAGATAACGTCTTGCAAGACAGCGTCCAGACACCCCCCCCCCCCCCCCCCCCCCGTGAAGGGGCAGGGCTGCCAAGCCTGAGGCCAAAATCGCTCAGCTTTACCCACAGGCTCTAAGACCTTTTGTCTGTGGCGGGGCCTCGAACCCAGGGCCCCACACATACAGAGCATGTGTTGGACCGCAGCCCAGTCCCTGGCCCTATCAGTTATTTCACACAACAGCTTAGGGCGAGGGTTCTGTGTCGCCATTTTATTAGATACAGTGAAGTCCAGACGTTTGTGACTTGCTCAGTGTCACACGATCAATAACTAAGTCGTTTTCAATTTTATAGATGTTTGGAACGCTCAGTGCACCCGCGTAGCCGTAGGGCTCTGGCCTTCCAAGCAGTGAGCTGGAGTTGATCTGGTTTTGACCTGGGTTTGATGTGTTTCCCCATCCCACATCCTTGCCCCCAGGCCTGCCAGGAGTGATGCCTGAGCACAGAACCTGGAGTAAGCACTGAGTACTGTCAGGTATAATCCCAAAACAAGAGCAGTGCCTTGGTTGCAGTGAGGCCTAACTGGGGGGTTGAGGGGCACATCCAATATACTCTTGGCTCTATGCTCCAGGATCACTCCTGGCAGGGTGGGGGATGGAACCAGGGCCAACCAGGGCTGGCTGTGTGCAAGGCAAATGCCCTACTTGCTATACTATCACTCTGACCCCCTGAACTGGATAATTCTTACCATTTTTTTACCCCATTTGGGTTTGGGGGCCACACCCCATATATACTCAGTGGGTGTTCCTGGCTCTGTGCTCAGGGATCACCCCTGGCAGGATTCAAAGGGCCATATATGGTGCCAGAGACCTAACTGGGTTGGTTGTAGACAAGACAAGAGCCTTACTCCTCGTGCTATTCCTTTGGCCTTTGAACTGGATAATTCTTTATTGTAGGAAGATAGCTTTGTGCATTGTAAGGTATTTCACAGTGTCCTTGGCCACTATTCTTTAGATGCCAGTAGACCTTCCATCAGCTGTGACAAGTGAAATTGGTTCCAGGCATTGCAAAAATGTCCCTAGGGCAGGACAGAGTGGGAGGAGAGTGTAAAATTTCCCCACCCTCCCCTTGAGAACCTCTGCACTAGATAGATCAATCATCAACTGATCTTTATTAAAAACTGGAAGGCTGAAAAATACTATGATGGGCTATTAAAATAACAACCGGCAACAGCATTATTTACCAAGTGCTTAAATGTGCTGTGTAAGTTACTTACTCATGATCCTACAGTCAGTAGGGTATATTTTTGTGCCTCTTACAGTTTAAAAAGTACTTGGCACTTGTATACCTCACTTGGGAACTGCATTTGGGTCATGAATTATGAAACTAATAGAAGAGCTAAGACGAAGCAGTTGTTATAGGAAAAGCAAAGGAGTAAGGAGTAAACCCCGCTTCCGGTTCTGCGCTGCTGCTTCCTTGCTAGCCTATGGTGGGCCTCTATTTCCCTCTCTATAAAATGGAAATGACTAGGGGCTGGAGAGATAGTACAGTGGGTAAGGCACTTGCCTTGCAAAGCAGCAGATCCAGAGTCAATCCCTGGCACCACATGTAGTCCCCAGAGTTCTTCCAGGAATTATCCCTGAGCATAGAGTCAAGAGCACCACTGGGTGTGGTCCAAAAAGCAAGCAGAAAACATTAATAAAATAGAAATAAAGAAAAAATAAAGAGAATACAAAGTTCGCTTACTGCCTCCCTTGTCCAAATAAGGAGGAGAAGGAGGGGGGAGGAGGAAGAGGAGGAGGAGGAGGAGGAGGAGGAGGAATATCAGAAGATATGGAGGCATTTTCTGTCATAAAAGAGAGAAAAGGAATCACATACTCGGTACCCACAGAGGTCAGGCAAATGATGTAAATGTGTGACATATCTGTCTTTATCATTTATGTAGTTTGATTCAGGTGCTTTGCTTGTGTCTGTTAGATGGTGTTGGTTGGGGCCAGATCACCTGCCTGGGTGCATTAGACCTTGATTTAGATCCCCAGCATTATGTGGCCTCCACCACCAGCTGCTCTGCAGCACCAACAGCCACACAGAGTAGAGCTATACCGTCAGGCCAAGTGTGAACGGAAGGCCTCCTAAGTCCATGAGGACTGCAGGGGAGACCTCCCCGAACCTGCTATGGTTCAAGTGAGAGAGAATAGATATTGCATACCTGAGGCCCTGAGTTCCACCCAGGATCACGTGAGTTCTCTAGCAGAGTTGGATGGTGTCCTGTGAGTTCACAAAGTGTGGGTGCACAATGCATGTGTTTGGTGGCTGAGAACTGCCTCCCCAGGCTGGCCAGCAGTGACAGACAAAGGAAGGAACAGGGGAATGAAGGAACAGGGCTGTCTATTTCTACTCTCCCCTACTTCTCTCTTACAGCATAGTTATATAGAAATCATAAAGGGCGGGTGCACATAGGTGAGGCTCAACATTATCATAACAATAAACAGATGTAAAGCCCCTTCTTCAGGGGAAGTTCTTGTAGGAGATTAACTCAGGGACAAAATCTCATCTCGGGGTTCTCTCTAGGAAATCTGCTCAAGGGTGGGATTTCAACAAGGGTATATTGCTTTCTCCTTTCCTTACCTAGTAATCCACTTATTTTTAGTCAGTTTGTATAAACACAGTAAGTAAGCTTAAAGAGTGGCTCTTCCTGGGGACATCTCTCTATACATACCGGACTACAGTCCTCAGATCAGGTTAGTCTTTTTTATTTTTTTTTATTTTTATTTTTTAAAAATTTATTTATTGAATCACTGTGGAAAAGGTTACAAAACTTTCAGGTTTAGGTCTCAGTCATGCAAATATCAAACACATTTCCCTTTACCAATACTTATTTTTTACCATGAAGAACCCCAATAAAACCCCACCCCCCACCCCTCCCAGTCCCTGTGAGAGATGAATTCTAGTTAACACTTTATCTGCTTTGATTAGATTCACTGTTTCAATAAAAGATTCACCACTGTTATTTAGAGTTTACCCCCCCAAAATCAGACATGCTGAAAAAGCATTGTGAAGTGATTTGCTTTCTGCAGCTGGGTTCAAGAATTAAATGTTGGTTTTGGATTTCTGCTATTTTACCTATTGACCCTGGAAGTATTTCTACTGAAAGTCAGATAGTTAAGAAATTGGTTTCTGTGTTCTGGAGTCGTGGCCGTGCTGGAGAGCTGCTCGTGGGGGCAACTGGTGGCCTCGGTAGGGCGTGAAGGGCGGACCGAAACGCCCCCCTTCCCATGAGGTTTTAGTCGCCCCCACACCCCCGGCTCATACCTGCTGTCCACAAGGCTCCCATGCGGCCGCCATCTTTCTTTCCAGAGAGGAGAGGGCGAATGGCGAAACACCCTTTCCCCTCTGGCAGACTTGATGGCCTGGATTAACGCATAGTCCGTTCACTTTTCTGCTCCAAGCTGCCGGGTTCTGCATTAAGTCCTTGTGCTTCTGGGGCCATGGCTGTGCTGGAGAGCCGCTCGTGGGGGGCAACTGGTGGCCTCGGTAGGGCGTGAAGGGCAGACCGAAACGCCCCCCTTCCCATGAGGTTTTAGTCGCCCCCACACCCCGGGCTCATACCTGCTGTCCACAAGGCTCCCATGTGGCCGCCATCTTTCTTTCCAGAGGGAGGAGGGCGGAAGGGAGCAACACCCTTTCCCCTCCGGGCAGACATGATGGCCTGGATTAACGCATAGTCCTTTCACTTTTCTGCTCCAAGATGCTGGGTTCTGCATTAAGTCCTTGTGCTTCTGGGGCTGTGGTCGTGCTGGAGAGCCGCTCGTGGGGGGCAACTGGTGAGATCAGGTTAGTCTTTCCTAACCCAAGCAGGGTTCTTATTCAGTTACTTTTTTGGGGTCATTGACAGAGTTTGTTCCATGACTGTGCTCTTAACTTATTATACTTCTTCTTTTTTTTTTTTTTGCTTTTTTGGGTCACACCCGGAGATTCACAGGGGTTACTCCTGGCTCATGTACTCAGGAATTACTCCTGGCAGTGCTCGGGGGACCATATGGGATGCTGGAAATCAAACCCAAATAGGCCGCATGCAAGTCAAAAGCTCTACCCGCTGTGCTATCGCTCCAGCCCCTTATTATACGTCTTATCACGCTTAGTTTGTCCATTTTCAATGCCGGGTAGCTTACTGCTCGCCCTGGATTCATCTTTGTCCCTTGCCAGGACCCTCCTTTTGGGGGTATTAAGAAGTAAGGACAATTGAGGTTTAAGTCAGGTAAATATGATGGATGCCCAGGAGTAAACATTATTCGAAGTCAGTTAACTCCCATGTTACAAAAGCATAACATCAGCTGTCTTCCTGAGTCTGTATAAAAAAAGGACATTGCTAAACCATGTAAAGGACATAGAGGAAAGAGAAAAGCAATATAGAATTACTAGTGCCTGATGGAGTTGGCTGTGTCTCGGGAACTTGTGATAGGAGTAACTCAATAAACCTAAGCTCCCTGCGGGAGGAGCAAGGACAAACCAGTGTTATCCAACAGTGCTCCTGAGCACTGTCAGGATTGGCTCAAACATAAAATTAAAGCTAAAAGAGAGATAGTACAGTGGGTTAGGCTCATCTTAACACAGCA